CGAATGCCCCAGCAACGCAGGGAGAGGATTAAGCTCTGCTCCCCCAGCTCTGCATCCCCAATCTAGTTCATTTCTAATTCTACTTCAAAATGGCACAAGCAATCAGCTCTTCTTTGGATGGGAGAGATCCCTAAAATTTCATCCTCCACAATTCCACAGTCTGAGTGCTGAAATAATGACTTTTGTCATTTTGCTTCTTCCGTGCATTTTTCAAGGTCCATTGCCCCTCGCTGCTTTCTTCACAGCCATTTTTCTCTCTTCCCAGCTGTCCCTTTTCTCGCGTATGGATTCCCAGAACCAAACACAAGGCACAGAATTTATCTTCCTGGCATTTTCCAGACTCCTAAACCACCAGATCCACCTTTCCTTGGTGCTCCTTATTGCCTATTTGGTCACTCTGATGGGCAACTTCATGATCCTAACCCTGGTTCTCCTGGATTCCCACCTTCATACCCCTATGTACTTCTTCCTCAGTCAGCTATCCTGCTTGGATATCTGCCTTTCTTCTGTGGTTGTACCAAAGATCCTGGTGAACTTCCTACGCCAGCAACACACCATCTCCTACAACCAATGCCTGGCACAAGCATTCTTCCTCATTGGCTTTGCGGGATGTGAGCCGGCACTGCTGGCTGTCATGGCCTATGACCGCTATGCGGCCATCTGCCAGCCTTTGCACTATGCCCACCTGATGAGGACCAAGGTGTGCATCCAGCTGTCTGTGGCCGTTTGGGTCTGGGGCTTCTTGGACTCAGCCATCCATGCTGCCCTGGCCACCAGGTTGGATTTTTGTGAAAACCGCCAGCTTCCTCACATATTTTGTGATGTTCCCCCATTACTGAAAATTGCCTGCAGTGATACCTGGGTCAACGAAGTGGCCAATCACATCACCAGCATCTTTGTGGGCCTCATCCCTGTCTTCTTCATCATCCTGTCCTATTTCTATATTTTGTCCTCCATTCTGCAGATTCGCTCCAACACTGGCAGGCACAAAGCCTTCTCCACTTGTGCATCACACATCGCTGTTGTGGTTGTCTGTCTTGGAAATGCATTTGTAAACTACAATCAACCCACTGCTGGCTACTCTCTAGAGACTGACACCCTGATCTCCACAATGTTTTGCATCATCAACCCCATGCTGAACCCCTTGATCTACAGCCTCCGCAACAAGGAGGTGAAGGGGGCCCTGTGGAAGGTTGTCAACTGCCAGAAGACAGCATAGTATTCATTTTGGGCTACGTGTTTTGTTAAATCTCATGTGTTTCTGCTCACTAAGAAAAACGAAGCCTGTGCACATGAACTGTGGTAGAAGGACTTTCTCAAGGACCCTGCAAAACCATTCCCAAGAGAAAACAGATGGAGATTGTTGTAAGAACATGAGTAGCTGGACTTGCATCTGAATGAAAACTCCTTGACTCCAGCACTCTGTGTTCTATCACGGCCAGTTAAGTGTCTCAAGGAACCTGCAAGCAAATGCCGCCCACTTCTTCTAGAAGCCGGAAGCTGGTGGTGACCAGGGACATGTGATTCCTGATCATGTGAGTAGAAGTAACAGCTCATGGTTTGTAGTCATTTTGATAGCCTGTCTTCTACTGCCCCAGAGCAAAGAGAAGCTCTAACAAAGACAGAATTCAGATGAGGAACAGGAACAATGGTTGGGTAGTCAGAGGACAAATGGCATGGTAGGAAAAAAAGTATGCAGATGGGAGAAGCCAAGATGGTTTGCAAGGACGGAGAGATATGGAGAGTGTGATGAATGGCAAAGGTGTGAATGAGATTGAGCTACTTGTTTCTCTCTGTCTTATCTCCAGCCTTTAGTACCTTCTGTGGCTCTTTCCTTTGGTTCTCTGCATGTCACATAATGATTCTTACTCCGAAAGGGAACAGCCTGAAGGGTGTACATGTCTGTATGTCTGTGTGTAGAAATCCCCCGGGACTGTTTCCTGAGCTTCCTCCACAATTTCTGCTCATTGTGGATGTCTCTGCAGGCGTGTCCCCAAGGCCCCCCTGCTGCGGAAAAGAGCTTCCTTCTCAGGTGATGCTTCTTTGCTAAACTAGACTTATTCTTGGGCACCCCATGAAGTATGGCCACGCAAAGGTCTAGCCTTGCAGATGTCATTTTTGGAGGGCGTTTGGCTGTGATATCCTGCAAGCTTTGGCTTAAGCTGTGTACATCTGCCCCTGGTGGACCCCCTGCCCCCACTCCTTGGAGAGATTTGGATGCTTCTGTTACGCTGGGCAGGAAGAGAAGGAGCCCACGCGTGGCCAGTGAGTAATGTTGCAGTTGTTGGTCAGGAAAACTTTTATTTGCATTTATTTTATGTGGAGCAGAGTGTTGGGCTCAAGATCCTAAATGGAGCCTTTCTGTGTTATGACTCTCTGGGTCAGAACTTTTCTTGATACTGCTTCCGTGGGGGGGTGGGGGGGGGGCGGGTTTGGACTTTCTGCACAAGGAGTTTTCCCAGCTTGGTTTTGGAAATACTCCGTATCCACATAAGGCCAACTTCGTGG